CTGTCACTGCTCCACCTCTGCTATTTTCTTTGGCACTTCTTCCAGACTGACATCTTACTTCAGCCATTGGGTGTTCACTAATGATGTTATTTCTGTCCATGTGCACTGTAGCTAGCCAGCTCCTGACTCCATTCTCAGCATCATGGAGTCTCAGGTTTCCTCAAAATATTAATTGAATGCACAATGCAGAATTAAGATTCCCATGATGTGTGGGTGGAAGGAGGTAGAACCCAGAATTCTGACAGGGGTACCTCATTGCTGATGTCACCATGAGGTAAAATAAGGCAGCAGTGAATAACTCAGCATTTATACAATAATTCAATTAATTGTCAAATTCCACCCACACCTACCCCAGTATGAAGCTAGACCACCTTTATGGAAGAGCATATGCTAGGGGGGCACATTCTAGGGTGGCACATGTTGGAGGTCTTTCAATGAAGTGAAGTTCTTTAATTAAGTAGCACTTCCACTTTTGTACTTCACAATTGCACAAAGCGAAAATCTACAGCAAACTACTTTGCAAAATACCATAAAAATTGCAGGTGAACTAATTTCTCCATTCAGCAATGCTTCCTCTCTATATCATGTGTTCTCTGCCTCTCCTTTTTACAGTTGTGACCTCTCTCCTTAAACTCTGTTTCCTTTACTCCTCTTCTCTACCCTACAATCTGTATATATCACTCTCACTTCTCCTACCCTAATCTGTCCGCCTATCTCCTACTCTGTCGACTTTTCGGAGATTCCTGAAAACCCTTCTCTTAAAAGAAGCCTACCCTGCCTCCTCCTAAGAACTCTGTGTCCACTATCTCCATCAGCGCATCCCCAGTTATTACCTTTTGTATCATATAATTTGATCCTTCCTTTTAGATTGTAAGCTCTAAGGAGCAGGGCCCCCTGATTCCTGCCGTATTGAATTGTATTGTAATAACAAAAATAATTAAAATATGTTGTAAACCCATGGACATTGAAACTTGGTATTAATATCTGAAGATTGGGTGTAAATGTGGAGAACAGAATAATCTAATAGTGTGAATGTTCCTTATGGAAGGAGCAGAATCATTCAGCCATTTGATCCTGGAAGTAATTAATTATGCTGGCAACTATAGGGCCAAGGCAAGCTGCTGAATACAATTACATTCTTCACAGATTAATTTTGTCCAATAACTTTACAGCATTTACTGCAGATATTTTCCATTCAGCTATACAAATGCTGAAGAATGTTGTAGGTATATACAGGTGGATCTGCTTGGATTTGCCCATCCTTTTGAAGCAGGCCTCCATTTATAGGAAAGGAAATGGGAATATCTGCCAAAATGGCTGACTGGTAGATAATCAGCTTTATGAGAACCTTGTCTCTTGATGTCTACAAATTGCCAGGGATTTTGATAGATCCCATTACACTAGTTTTGAGAGTCTTTTGTTTCTGGGGAACATCATTTGTGCCTTTTGCCTCCAGTCAGCGGATGGCTTGAGAAATCCCCACCTGTAATTGCAAAGATCAAAAGCATCTATGAGAGGCTATCAGAGACTGTCTGTGTGCATCCACTCTTCATCTTTCAGGGGGAGACAAAAGACAGTGTGTGTGAGAGATGATGGGATCCCTGTCGTTTTTTTTTTACTTGCTCATAATGCTGTCGAGTATTCATAACAATTGGTGTGTTCTTCTAAAGCAGCAGCCCATGATAGGCTCTAAGTGCCAGTACTCAGCTTATTTTAACAGACCTTCCTATATGTTTCATTTTACGGGCCTCTTGCATTCAGACTGGATAATATTAATAGCCCTGTTAAGCTCTGCTTAAAGGTACACTACATTCAATTCTAAAATTAAAACCATGCGATGCCTACTGGGATCTGCTGAGTAGTCCACCTCACTACTTTTTTGTTTGTAATTTGCTTCTCCAGAAACACAACAGCTGGTGATTCTGTAACACTTTCCTTGTCTTTACCCTCAAACATAAAGGTTGTAGAAAACATTCTGGTGCTATGAAGTGTCAGAGCCACCATTTAGATAAAAACCTGCTTTGGAATTTTGGATGTCACTGGTGATGCAGAAAGCAGAGAGAGAAGAAGCTATAGAGCATAGGTTTCAGAATATAAACTCCTACTGCTCTCCTTCTGGCCCTCTAAGGTAGACATTCTCAACCTTTTCAACATGGAGGAACCCTTGAAATAACTTTCTGGTCGTGGAGAACCCCTGCTAAAAAAATTTTATATCTGCAACTCAAGATAAAATAGTGTGGTGGTCATTGGGAAGAGTGCTCCTTGCACTTGTGGTCATTTGGAAGAATTTCCTATTTTCAGATAGCTAAGAAGATGATTGGTGTCAGTGGAAACATATCTGAGAGGCAAAAATTGGTCATTGCTCAAGAAACCCCTAGCAACCTTTGGAGGAATCCTAGGGTTCCAAGAAGCCCTGGTTGAGAAACCCTGCTCTAAGGATCTTTGTGTGCTTGTTACATAGCTAGTTTAGCTGAAAAAAGACAAATGTCTATCATGCCCCTTTTCAAAGATTCTTGCAGTGTTGGTCCACAGAATGGCAAAATAACTGACCCTAAAAATCCAAAAAGACTAAATAATCCCCACAGGTGTAAATAGTAATTTTCTTTCTTCTTTCATCAAACACTCCTTCTCAATATCCGCAAATCCTGATGACAATACACCTCAAAAAGAAAAAAACTTGACATAGTGTCATACCTTTTATATAATACAACACACGTGCCACGCAGCATGCAAAATCCTTTATAAATGTGTATATTCAATAAACGAGAATCTATATACACATGCAAAAATTCTATAGTGAATATAAATATAAGTGAAACACACTCATATAACAAAAGTGTCAAAAAACACCATGTGTGAAAACAAATCCCAATTAACACTGCAAGTGTTTATCACAGTGATCCCCTAAGACCAAAAACAACACTCTCCAAACTCATATGCTGATGGGTAATTACCCTATATCAAAAGCATCAAGGCAGGACACCACTCTGGGTTAGTTTCTCCTCCAACCGATTGTATCCAAATACTAGGGTTTTACTTCCATTTTACTTCCAAGATCGCGGCAATCTTGGAAGTGGGAACATGTGGCCAATGTTTCCCTGAATCTGTCCACACTTACATCCCTGTGAGGAGGAGCTGTTTTCATCTAGATTTTATGTAAGTCACCAATAAAGGAGGATATGTTATAGACTATCTGTGACTGTGGATTTTCTTGAAAATGGAAGTAAAACCCTAGTATTTGGATACAATCGGTTGGAGGAGAAACTAACCCAGAGTGGTGTCCTGCCTTGATGCTTTTGATATAGGGTAATTACCCATCAGCATATGAGTTTGGAGAGTGTTGTTTTTGGTCTTAGGGGATCACTGTGATAAACACTTGCAGTGTTAATTGGGATTTGTTTTCACACATGGTGTTTTTTGACACTTTTGTTATATGAGTGTGTTTCTTTTTGAGGTGTATTGTCATCAGGATTTGCGGATATTGAGAAGGAGTGTTTGATGAAAGAAGAAAGAAAATTACTATTTACACCTGTGGGGATTATTTAGTCTTTTTGGATTATATTTTTTTGGATTATATATTTAGTATTTTTTGAATTTTGGATATTTGGGACATTCTTTTGGTTTTATATCTCTATGTGGGTTTTATTTTATTTTATATTTTTTTATTTTATTTTTTTGTTTATTTATTTATTTTTATATTATTTATTGTAAAGAAAAGTTTTATTACTTAGTTTAATTAGCCTTCAAGGGTGGAGGTGGATTACTTTTCTGGGTCATTATAGGGTGATTGGTTGCTGTGTTTAAATATAAAAATAACTGACCCATTCCATCTGACTGATGACAAATTTTCGACACGGGGGGGAATTAGGAATACCGGTTGAATTGATTCATTGCAAAAAAAATCCATGTAGGCATATTTAGTCTTATATACTTGCATAATCACCTGACCAAATAATTTATACTAATTGGATACTTTGGTGGGTAACATATTGGAAAGTCTCTATCTACAGAAAAGGGGTCAGTTTTTTTTACTGTGTCTGCTCCCAAATGTTTTACTTGACATTAAGTGGATCAGTGTAGTCATTCAATCTCTGCTGGATTATTTATTAAAATAATGGGCCATTCATATTTCTGATGGCTGTTGCAGTAAGCATGTTATGTCACAGCAGCCCATTCATTGTGAATACGTCACTTTGAGAACATGGAGATTCTTGTATTTAAGAACAAACTTTGTTTTTCCTTTAGTTGATTTTGAGATTTCTATAGCAGCTCCACTCATAAAAGGAGTACTGTTTTTTAGGCTTCCCTTATTTCCTTTAACTCCCTTTAACTCTGCATTTAATAATGGTTCCCTTGGTTCTAAAGCTTTTAATATAGGAGAATATACAGAGCAGTATTTGCTTTTCTGTAAGTACATCTCTAAACACTGGTTATCACTTTAGGTCTCACATGAGTCTTTCCTTTGTGTTGGCACACACATCAAAGAATATACAAGTTAAGTGATACCACTTTTCCCAGAAGTGAAAACTAAATTACAGTAAAGCTATACTACTTGTAACAGTTTTTTCTGTTCAATAATGTGTATTTTTTCAAATCTGCCACATACAGTATATAACAACAGTATACAGTATATAATCAACAATATAAACCTAGAATAATTAAAATGTGGCCAATAATTGACTATATAAAGTTCACAAGCTAAAAGTCTTTATTGGAGGCTGAAATAACAGCCTAAGAGATCCAGCTATGTTTTCCCACCACAGCTGGGGTGGTTAGGCTCCACAGTGATTTGTAAACAACATGCAAACTCTTTATTCCCAAATTAACCACTTTAAGACTGCTCCATAGCAGATGTACTGGTACAGGGTGGCCGCACTGTGCAAAAATATGTAACAATATGTGATTTTGCATTTCCAGGTAAAGGTTGCATGCCCACACACTGCGCCCTAACCGCGCTGTCATTGGTTCCCGAAGATGTCAATCACTGGGTCCTGGCCAGCGATTCATGGCCGGGACTCAGTGATCGGTGGAGAAGCTGACGGGAGAGATCTGTGTGTAAACAACACAGATCTCTCTACTGTCAAGGACAAGGTTGCTTTGTAGAGATATAGAAAGCAGCATATCCCTTAGTAAAAACACCACACATAATAAAGCACAAAGCAGTACACAATTAACTCCTTTGATCACCCCAGATGTTAACCCCTTCCTGTCCAGTGTCACTAGTGCAGTATCAGTGCTTTTTATTAGCACTGATCACTATATTAGTGTCTCTGGAGATGTCCGTGGCAGGTAGTTCCCACCCAGTGTCAAATGCCTGCCACAGTCCCTCTATAAGTCGCTGATTCCTACCATTACTAGTATAAAAAAAAAAAGTTCAGTATATCCAGGGTACATTTGTTTGATCCCTCTTAGTGATGTTTCAGTAGATTGTACTTAGTTGTTTTCTTTTGTTTCCATTATAGGAATTCTAGATGTGAATATTTGACCTGTTTATTCATGTTACTACTTCTTGTACCCGTTTTTAGGACTGAATCCTGCCTTATTATTTGGAATTTTACATATTGTCTGTAGCAAATACTGCCTTCTGTTAGTAAAAGCAAATTAAAAAAAGTAAAACAAATTCCAGTATATATACCGCCATTTGTAGGCGCTATATCTTTCACATAAAATAATTAATATACACTTATTGGGATTTTTTTTACCAAAGGCGTAGCAGAATACATTTGGCCTAAATTTATGAATTCATTTTTTTCTTATATTTTATTGGGTATGTATTATAGCAAGAAGTCAAAAATATTGTTTTCTTTTTCAAAATTGTCATATTTTTTGTTTAAAACGCAAAAAATAAAAACCGCAGAGGTGATCAAATACCAAAAGAAAGCTATATTTGTGAGGAAAAAAATGATAAATTTAATTTATGTACTGCGTTGCCATTGTCAGTTAAAGTAATGCAGCGCCGAATCGCTAAAAATTGCCTGGTCATGACAGGGGGAAAATCGTCCAGAAGGCAAGCAGTTAAAGCATATCTGAAGTCAAACTTTTTTTTTTTCTTTCTTTATATTTGGGTATAGTAGGGATGAGTTAGAACCCCCCTTGGTGGTTTGCTGCCTGTGACCCCACTGAGGAGATCTGCTCCCACTCTAGTTGTCCTAATTACCAGGACTGAATATGTTGGGAAATTCACAACTTTATGGTGTCACCAGAAGAGGAATAGAGGAGAAGTCTTCCTAATAACTTTATTGCTTGTAATACGTATATTGCATTAGTGTAGCCAAGTTTGTTAAGGAAAGGAATGTGGAAAGAAAGGTCCACTTTAAGACCTGCCAGAGTACATATACTATCCCAGTACCCCACACCTTTCTTTTACTTTGAGAAAATAAAGCATAAATGGGTTAAACCTTCTATACTCTATCCAATGCTAAAATAGGTTTAGCTTTTAGTTACACTTTAGCTCTTTCTAGGAGCCCCTGATTCACCATCCCTCCCTTCCAGGGGCGGACTGACAACTCATGGGGCCCCCGGGCAATTAGGGGATCATGGGGTCCCTGTGTCCTTGCCCAAACTCAAAAAAGCCTATGAAAAAGGTACCAGGGGCATCTCATGGGCCCCCTACTGACCACAGGCCCTTGGGCAGTGCCCGAGTTTCCAAATGGTCAGTTCGCCCCTGCTCCCTTCTTTAGTTGCAAAAGAACTACACTGCATCTCATCAGCACCTCAAACCAAAACACGCTTAGGTTAATGGTCATTGTTGTATCACAGTCCAAAATATAGAGTGGCCTTTAAGTATATTCATATAGCACAGGGTTCAGACATGCGGAAGAGCCTGGGCCAGAAGTTAGGGGAACCACACACCGGTAACAAAATTGAAACCTAATGAAACAGGTGCAAAGGAAAGGGTTTCATTGCTAGTAAAGGTTATAACAAGCATTGTGCTGTGTCTGCTCTTAGGCTTGGCAGGTCTACTTTAATTAGGTCATTGACATTTAAGAGTCAAAATTGAATTGCTTCTAGACTGATTCCCAGATTTCACTTCCTTGCCAAAGGAAAAATGTTTATTATATGCCCAATTTACGTAGTGTTTTACATACTGTACATTCACATCAGTCCCTGCCCTTAAGGAGCTTACAATCTAAGGTCCCTCTCCCATGAGTATATGTACATGCATACCCATACTAGGGGCAATCTAGACATTTAAAGAGGAGCCAATTAGCCTACAAGCTTGTCTTTGGAGTGTGTAATTTATTTATTATTTATTTATTTTGGGCACTTATATAGCGCCATCAATTTACGCAGCGCTTTTACATATATATTGTACATTCACATCAGTCCCTAACCCTCAAGGTGCGTACAATCTAAGGTCCCTAACTTACATTCATTCATACATATTCAGGGCCAATTTAGACAGGATCCAATTCACCTACCAGCATGTCTTTGGAGGGTGGGAGGAAGCCGGAGTACCCGGAGGAAACCCACGCAGGCACAGGGAGATCATGCAAACTCCAGGCAGTAGTGCAGTGGCTGGGATTCGAACCAGCGACACAGGTGGAAGTGCTAACCATTTAGCCACTGTGCTGCCCTATGAGGGAAAGAAAATCCATGTACAGAACGAACATACAAACGCCTTGCAGGTAGTGTCCTGGCTGGGATTTGAACTGAGAACCACGGAAGTGTTAACTCATATTATGAAACACAAACAAAAAGACTGATCAAGACACTGTAATTAAACCTAATTATTATTATTTCAGACACTGAAAAATATTTTCTTTATAGAGTGTGAGGTATTGGGCTGTTATATTCTGTATAGGAACAGATCTAGGAATCTATTTTTAGAATTTTAGGGATTTTTTTTTACCTGCTACTTATTATCTGTTTAAACCAGCTGAACAAACTACAACAGAGGGATCTCAATTGAAAATGAAAGCAATTTCCTTTCATGTTTCCTTAAATACTGGCAGAGTGTTTGATGTGAATTTATTGTGTTCCACTTATGGGTGTTCAGCTTGTTATAAATGACTGTGTAATTATGAAGAATAACTCACAGGAAAACAGAGAAAGTGAGGAAATTAAATCCACCAGCAATATGTAATTCAAGGATACTAAATCATCCAATTATTGTCTGTGCAAAGGAAAACATCTTAAATTTAATCTTTACAAGTGAATATTTGTTCTAATTCTGGTCAGGCTATGAATCATATACATATGTTTATTCCTCTGGGAAGACATAATGTGTGGTAAAGGAGTCCTTTTGCAGAATCCTAGTAGAGACACAATTGTATTACAATATATATGACAATGAAGGGTTATGCAGGCACTGAAGTATCTATCTTCATATGTGTCCTCCAATGTAGCCACCAAGGCTCCTGATAGGGAGGGTTGGAAACCTCTAGTCCTCTGGTGCCCAACCTGTGGCCCCAGAGCTCCTGCAGGCATCAGTATATGTTTCCCTATTGCCCTGTTAAAGCAGTGATTTCTAGCAGTCTCTTATAATATGTCTGTAGTCTCTGACCTTCTCCTGTATAATTTCTGCAGTCCCTGACTATCTCCTGTTCCATGTCCACAGTCTCTGACCATCTCTTGTATCATGTTTGCAGTCTCTGGTCATCTCTTGTATCATGTTTGCAGTCTCTTGCCATCTATTTTATCACATTTGAAGTCTCTGACCATCTCTTGCATCCTGTTCAAAGTCTCTGACCATCTCTTGTATCATGTTTGCAGTCTCTGGTCATCCTTGTATCATGTCTACAATCTCTGACCATCCCTTGTATCACATTTCAAGTCTCTGACCATCTCTGACCATCTCTTGCATCCTGTTCACAATTTCTAACTATCTCTTGTATCATGTCTGCAGTCTCTGACCATCTGTTGTATCATGACTACAGTCTTTCGCTATCTCTTGTCTTGCATCACATTTGAAGTTTCTGACCATCTCTTGTATTCTGTTCATAGTCTCTGACAATCTTTTGTATCATGTCAGCAGTCTATGACCCTCTCTTGCATCCTGTCCGCAGTCTCTGACCATCTGCTGTATGATGTCCACAGTCTCTAACTGTCTTCTGTATCACGCCATTAATCTTTGAGTATGTCCTGTTGTATGTCTGCTATCTCTGAATATTACCTGAATTTTATCTAAGTCCCTTTGCTGATATTAAGGGCCGCACTTACAACCCACTATATCAAGAAAGCTGACCACCATTGTGAGAAATTGAAATCATAGTGAAATACCTATGTGATATCTTCGCAGGTACATCCTGATGCCAGGATTTTCTTATACAAATACTGACTTCAGCTAAGAAGTTAGTGCTGGGGCCCTGTCTCCTCCCACAACCAATAATTGGTTAGTGAGGCTGTCAATTATTTTAGAAAGCCAATAGTGAGGAAAAGGGAGAGGCTGGGCTAAGCACTAAATTCCTGGTGTAAATTTGTATTTGCATATTAGAATCAAGAAGACTAATCTACCCCAACCGTCCCCCAGTTCTTCTCTAGGACTAGAATACCTAACCCAGGGGCGGACTGACAACTCATGGGGCCCCTGGGCAATAGAGGATCATGGGGCCCCTGTGTCCTTGCCCAAACTCAAAAAAGCCTATGAAAAAGGTACCAGGGGCATCTCATGGGGCCCTCTACTGACCCCGGGCCCTTGGGCAGTGCCCGAGTTTCCAAATGGTCAGTCCGCCCCTGGCCTACCCAAAGTTCAGCAAAAGACACTGTTTCTTGCTATTTCAGTTCAGCAAAGGCACAGTGTTGTCACCCACAACAGGAAATTAAGAGCAAATGCATGTATGCCAGAAACAACAAATATTTTCTGTTCTTGAAGAGTCATTAAAGGAAAAAAACATAGGGACGTGTGTATGTATTGTAGAGAATTTTTTTTTCTCCTGATATTCACTTATGTTGTTTCTATCAGCTTTTGATATGTTAAGCTGGCCATACACAGTTAGTTTGTTTTTTTTCCCCTTCAGCCAGCAGGATGAATAAAAAAAAACAAACAAACACATTGCTCCCCCCACCAAGACATTGTATTCAGACAGCGGCACCTGCTGCTGTAAGAATACACTGATCAGTTGTTTTACGAGATTGGCTGCAGCCGCTGATTTAGAAAAAGTCTCC